CACCAAAAAGGAGAATTACAGACCAATATCCCTGATGAACATGGATGCAAAAATTCTCAACAAGATACTAGCCAATAGGATCCAACAATACATTAAGAAAATTATTCACCATGACCAAGTGGGATTTATCCTCGGGACACAAGGCTGGTTCAACACTCCTAAAACAATCAATGTGATTCATCATATCAGCAAGAGAAAAAACAAGAACCATATGATCCTCTCATTAGATGCAGAGAAAGCATTTGACAAAATACAGCATCCATTCCTGATCAAATCTCTTCAGAGTGTAGGGATAGAGGGAACATTCCTCAACATCTTAAAAGCCATCTACGAAAAGACCACAGCAAATATCATTCTCAATGGGGAAGCACTGGGAGCCTTTCCCTAAGATCAGGAACAAGACAGGGATGTCCACTCTCACCACTGCTATTCAACATAGTACTGGAAGTCCTAGCCTCAGCAATCAGACAACAAAAAGACATTAAAGGCATTCACATTGGCAAAGAAGAAGTCAAACTCTCCTTCTTCGCCGATGACATGATACTCTACATAGAAAACCCAAAAGACTCCACCCCAAGATTGCTAGAACTCATACAGCAATTCGGCAGTGTGGCAGGATACAAAATCAATGCACAGAAGTCAGTGGCATTTCTATACACTAACAATGAGACTGAATAAAGAGAAATTAAGGAGTCAATCCCATTTACAATTGCACCCAAAAGCATAAGATACCTAGGAATAAACCTAACCAAAGAGGTAAAGGATCTATACCCTATAGAACACTTCTGAAAGAAATTGAGGAAGACACAAAGAGATGGAAAAATATCCATGCTCATGGATTGGCAGAATTAATATTGTGAAAATGTCAATGTTACCCAGGGCAATTTACACATTTAATGCAATCCCTATCAAAATACCATGGATTTTCGTCAGAGAGTTGGAACAAATCATCTTAAGATTTGTATGGAATCAGAAAAGACCCCGAATAGCCAGGGGAATTTTAAAAAAGAAAACCATATCTGGGGGCATCACAATGCCAGATTTCAGGTTGTACTACAAAGCTGTGGTCATCAAGACAGTGTGGTACTGGCACAAAAACAGACACATAGGTCAATGGAACAGAATAGAGAATCCGGAAGTGGACCCTGAACTTTATGGTCAACTAATATTCGATAAAGGAGGAAAGACTATCCACTGGAAGAAAGACAGTCTCTTCAATAAATGGTGCTGGGAAAATTGGACATCCACATGCAGAAGAATGAAACTAGACCACTCTCTTGCACCATACACAAAGATAAACTCAAAATGGATGAAAGATCTAAATGTGAGACAAGATTCCATCAAAATCCTAGAGGAGAACACAGGCAACACCCTTTTTGAACTCGGCCACAGTAACTTCTTGCAAGATACATCCACGAAGGCAAAAGAAACAATAGCAAAAATGAACTATTGGGACTTCATCAAGATAACAAGCTTTTGCACAGCAAAGGATACAGTCAACAAAACTCAAAGACAACCTACAGAATAGGAGAAGATATTTGCAAATTACATATCAGATAAAGGGCTAGTTTCCAAGATCTATAAAGAACTTATTAAACTCAACAGCAAAGAAACAAACAATCCAACCATGAAATGGGCAAAAGACATGAAGAGAAATCTCACAGAGGAAGACATAGACATGGCCAACATGCACATGAGAAAATGCTCTGCATCACTTGCCATCAGGGAAATACAAATCAAAACCACAATGAGATACCACCTCACACCAGTGAGAATGGTGAAAATTAACAAGGCAGGAAACCACAAATGTTGGAGAGGATGCGGAGAAAAGGGAACCCTCTTGCACTGTTGGTGGGAATGTGAACTGGTGCAGCCACTCTGGAAAACTGTGTGGAGGTTCCTCAAAGAGTTAAAAATAGACCTGCCCTACGACCCAGCAATTGCACTGCTGGGTATTTACCCCAAAGATACAGATGCAATGAAACGCCGGGACACCTGCACCCCGATGTTTATAGCAGCAATGTCCACAATAGCCAAACTGTGGAAGGAGCCTTGATGTCCATCAAAAGATGAATGGATAAAGAAAATGTGGTTTATGTATACAATGGAATATTACTCAGCCATTAGAAACGACAAATATGGGATCCCTGGGTGGCGCAGCAGTTTAGCACCTGCCTTTGGCCCAGGGCGCGATCCTGGAGACCCGGGATCGAACCCACGTCGGGCTCCCGGTGCATGGAGCACTATGTCTCTGCCTCTCTCTCTCTCTCTCTATGTGACTATCATAAATGAAAAAATTAAAAATTAAAAAAAATTGAAAAAAGAAACGACAAATACCCACCATTTGCTTCAACGTGGATGGAACTGGAGGGTATTATGCTGAGTGAAATAAGTCAATCCGAGAAGGACAAACATTATATGTTCTCATTCATTTGGGGAATATAAATAATAGTGAAAAGGAATATAAGGGAAGGGAGAAGAAATGTGTGGGAAATATCAGAAAGGGAGACAGAACATAAAGACTCCTAACTCTGGGAAACAAACTAGGAGTGGTGGAAGGGGAGGAGGGTGCGGGGTGGGGGTGAATGGGTGACGGCCACTGAGGGGGGCACTGGATGGGATGAGCACTGGGTGTTATTCTGTATGTTGGTAAATTGAACACCAATAAAAAATAAATTTATTATTAAAAAATAAAAATTTAATTTAATTTAAAAAAAAGAATGAATGCTGCAGAAAAAACTGGATATCCCATGCTAAAGAATTAAATGGGACCCTTGCCTTACTTCATATACAAAAATTAACTCCAAATCCACAATCCATTAAGTGTAGTCAAAGATTGAAACTTAAGAGCTAAAACTATGAAAAATTTTAGAAGAAAACATTGGAGAAAATATTCACGACACCAGATTCAGTAACAATTTCGTGGATATAACCAAAGGATAGACAACAACAACAAGAAAAAGCAATTTCATTAAAATGAAGATTTCTTTTTGCATCAAAGGATATAATCAAGAAGGTGAAGAGACAACCTATTGATAGGAAGAAAATATTTGAAAACCTTATACTGGCAAAGGATTGATTTTCAGAAAATATAAAAATTCCTGAAATTCAGCAAAGCAAACAACATAATAAAAGATGAGCAAAGGACTTGAACAGACATTTGTCCAAAGAGGGTAAAAAGCCAACAAGCACATGAAGAGGTGCTCAAAATCCATTAGTCATTAGGGAAATGTAAATTAAAATCAAAATGAGATACTACTTCACACTTACTAGAAAGGCTATAATCAAAAACTAAAAAAGTGTCGGTGAGGATGCAGAGAAATTGGAACCCCCATGCATTGCTGGTAGAAAAGTAAAATGGCCCATGTGGAGAACAATTTCTCAAGAAGTTAAACATAAAACTACCTTATGACCCAGCAATACAATTCCTAGGTGTATGTCCAAAGGACCTGGAAAGAGAGACTCAAACAGATACTTGCAGACCAGTGGGTTTTTTTAAAAAAGATTTTATTTATTTATTCATAGAGACACACAGAGAGAGGGGCGGGGGGGGTGCAGAGACACAGGCAGAGGGAGAAGCAGGCTCCACGCAGGGAGCCTGACTGGGACTCGATCCCAGGTCTCCAGGATCACACCCTGGGCTGCAGGCAGCGCTAAACCAGGTCTGCCCGCAGACCAGTGTTCTTAGCAGCATTATTCACAATAGCCAAAAAGTAGAAAGAGTCCAGGTGTCTATCAAGCGATGAATAGATACACAAAAAGTGACATGTACATAACAGAATATTTTTCATCCACAAATAAATAAGGAAATTTTGATACATGCTACAACATGGATGACCCATGAAAACATGCTCACTGAAACTAGCCTTTACAGAAATTTAAATACTACATGATTCCACTTAAGAAAATTAAAAAGCAAATTCACAGAGGCAAAAACTGGAATAGTAGTTATCAGGGGCTGGTGGACAGAGAAAAGGGAAAGTTATTGTTTAATTGTTATACAGCTCATCCTGAAGATGATTTTTTTTAAGTTTTGGAATAGATAGTGATAATGGGTAAACCACTATCATACGACTGTATTTAATGCCACTGCATCTGTGTGCCACAGAGAAAAAATAAAACCAAGAGCTGATTCTTGAAGAATGTTTTTTTTTTATTTTTATTTATTTATGATAGTCACACAGAGAGAGAGAGAGAGAGAGGCAGAGACATAGGCAGAGGGAGAAGCAGGCTCCATGCACCGGGAGCCCGACGTGGGATTCGATCCGGGTCTCCAGGATCGCGCCCTGGGCCAAAGGCAGGCGCTAAAGCTGCGCCACCCAGGGATCCCATGTGTTTTTTTTAATAGTCAAAATGGTCAAGAAAAAAAAAAGATATAAATCAGCAGTGAGTTAAGAATGAAAATAATCAGAGGCTCATGGGTGGCTCAGTCAGTTAAGTGTCTAACTCTTGATTTCAGCTCAGGTCATGATATCAGACTTGTGAAATTGAGTCCTGCATTGAGCTCTACACTCAGTGTGGAGTCTGCTTGAGATTCTTCTCTTCCTCTGACTATGCCCCTCCCCTCACTCATGTGCACATGTGTGTACACACACTCTCTCTCAAAATCAATTTTAAAAATCTTTTAAATATGAATTAAAATAATCAATACTACTAATAAATTTAATGTCATAAAGGAATAAATATAGGAACAGGTACAGTCTAATAAATTTCAAAATCTAGAAAATACAAAATGACAAAAGCTGGTACAAGAAGAAACAAGAAGCTTAAAGAGACCAAAAAACATTAAAGAAATGAAATACATCAAATACCAGTCTTTAAAAAATTCTCCAGGTCTTGATAGTTTTACTTGTGAGATCTAATAAAGTTTCAAGGAATATATTCATAAATACCCTCCCAAGCTCAGAAAGAGATTCAGAAATATAAGGGAAAGCTCAGGTACACATGTGTACACCCAAGTGTACACATGCACACACACAGATACACACAGCCCAGCTTACCAATGAATGGGTCCTGAAGAACAAAGCTCACTGTTAATGACCCATCTTGATTTAGATGCTTCAGCACCTTGTATACATCCACTAACTTTCCCATGTCTTTCTTATCAGCAGGTATTACAAGATTCAATGCATCTCTTTTCTCGGGCCAGCTACAGGATTTATTGAGGGAAAAAATGAGAAAATAAAAATAATTCAAAATTAAGAAATTTTATCATAAATTTTAAAAGCACCATTCAATAATAATCAAATATGAACACCTTCTTCACCTCCAACTATACAGATAAAACGAGCTAAGAGAAGTTAAGTTATATGGCTTCCCAAAGTCATACAACTGGTAAATAGAGTTAGGATATAATCTCAGGTAGGTGTAACCCAAAACCAATGCTTTTAATCCCTAAACTATAATTGCACAAATCAGCCAACACATCAGCAGTATCTAGCTGAATAGGTGGAGAAAGAAGTTAAGTACATTCACACAGTCAGCTAGATATAATCTTTCTGAAGGAACCCTGCAAGTCTAGAATTCAGCAATTTTATTCCTATGACTTTACCTCCAGAAAAAAATCAGAAAGTGTACAAAGATGTTTTAAGAAATTGTTCACTAAAGCATTTTCCAAATATTTAAAATGTTAAAGAAAATGAAATTTATTAAATTATGACACAGCTACATGATAAAATATGGCACCATTAAAATGATGATGAAATCTTATTCACTAACAGAAAGGCATTGGCTACCAAGACATATTATAAAACAATACTATGATTTAATTTAGATTAACACAACTAAATTTGGTTAGAAGAAAGATCTATTTTTGTGCCAGTGTATACAAAAAAAAAAAAAGTCTGTTCACATACATTATGATTATCTTCACTGGGTAGATTATGAATGCTTTTTACTGTCTTCTTTATTCCTACAACTGTCATGTGACTGCCAACCCTGCTCTCATGCTGGTAATTCCCTTCCGGCTTCCTCTGAAAATAATTCTGTTCAAGTATCCACCCACTTCCACATAGCAATTTGCTTCAAGGAGAACTGGAGTCATCCACTGATCATGTACTGAATACTCTTAAGGAACTAAGCTAATCAGGGCGGTGCTATCCCCCTTCCCAGTGATTTGTTTCAGAATGGGCAAGTAATGCAATTCAGGCCAAGACATAAACCTACTGAGAGACATAAAAGGCTTGTTCAACATTATAAATAAAAGTAAGAAACAGCTCCTCAGCTTTATATTGTGCTATGTCTAAATATGACACCTAAAACTATTAAAGACATCTTAGGTGAAGGGGTTAATCTGAGGAGAAACAGATATCTTAACAGCAACAAAAAAAAGATAAAAACACCATGATGTTATAACATTGGTGAGCCACTCGATCAACCAGCTCTGAAAGTGACTAAACTTGGGATTTCTTTTTACATGCAACATTACATCTTCCTATTTATTACCTTTTGGGGTGCCTAGGTGGCTCAGTCGGTTAGACATCTGCCTTTGGTTCAGGTCGTGATCTCATGGTCTTGGGATCAAGCCCAGCATCAGGCTCTCTGCTCAGTGGGGAGTCTGCTTGTCCCTCTCCCTCTGCCCCTCCCACCCCGCACACTTGCTATCTCTCTCAAATAGATAAAATGTTTTTAAAAACTTATTACCTTCTACCAAAAGCATCTTTAACTAATGTAAAATATTTCTGTATAGCCTTAATTTTGTTTTCAATGTGAATGTATGGTTTTTACATCTATACTTAGAAATCTAATCCATAACTCGAATTCTTTGCCCCAAACATGCTCCATCCACTTACAGGCTTCCCCAACTCAGCTGACAACAAATCTACTCTTCAAACTCTACGTGAAGCTAAAAACATTAAACTCATTCTCATTCTCCTTCTTTCTTCTTAACTCCATCATGAAATAGTTCTGCCTTCAAAATTAAACTAGAATATGAGAAGTTCTCACCAATTCTGCCATGACCTTCTTATTCCAAGCCACCATCTTCTCTTATTTAGATTTTTCCAGTAGCTTTCCTAGCAGACCAATGTGCCTCTTCACTTACTCCCAAAAAGTCTATTCTCAATATAGGAACCAGAGGGATACTTTTATTTTTTTTAAGATTTTATTTATTTATTCATGAGAAACACAGAAAGAGAGCCAGAGATGTGGGCAGAGGGAGAAGTCCCACATCGAGCTTCCATGCAGGGAGCCCGATGTGGGACTCGATCCCAGGACTCTATACCGGGACTGTGGGAGCACGCCCTGAGGCAATGGCAGATGCTCAAACTCTGAGCCACCCAGGTGCCCTAAGAGGGATACTTTTAAAACAAAAGCAGACCCTGTTACTCATCTGATCAAAATCCTGTAAGAGTTGCAATTTCACTCAGTAAAAATTAGTCTACTGTGATTACTACATAAATCTGGCTCCTCAATGCCGCTTTGACCTCATCTACTATTCTCCTCCTTGCTTACTCTAAGCATTCCTCATTCTGGCTTTCCACAATCCCTTATACCCACCAGATAGACTCTTCCTCTAAGACCTCTGCTATGGATGCATTGGGGGGTTTGTTTTTGTTTTTGTTTTTCTACTTAGAACTTTTTTCCTTGTATAGTCAATTGCCTATTTCCTTATATCACTGTTTGGCTTAAATATCACTTTGATGAAGATTACATTGCATATCCTATTTAGTATGACAATTAGTCCCGTATTCCCACAATCCTTATCTCCTTCACCACCATGTTTTTTTTCTTTTTTCCATGGCTCTTCACACTTTCTATAATACTAAATAATTTATTTACTGTGTTTGTCGTTCTTATGGTCTCCCCTTGTCACACTACAACTAGAATTATGTTTATTGTTTGTTTCTTTTACTGCTGTAGCCTAGCTCCAAAAAAAAGTGTATAGTACATGAGAAGTAATTCCTAAATATTTGCTGAATGTTAAATACATGAATAACTGGGGTAGGTGGTAATAAAACCATTGTTATTGCTTCAAAAATACTTTTCAAACTTTTTTTGAGAATCAATAAATTTAAGATAGCCAGGAAACTATCTATGGGTCTTAAGAAGTCAGGCAGGTAACTACACAGTGCACAAAAGGCTGTGAACTAAGTATTCAAGTTGCAATCAGACCCTAGGGAAGCAACAAGGAGACACAGAGCCTGCACTGAAGTCTGGTCCTATGCAGCCAGCTGAAGAGGTGAGAATTCTTAGTAAAGGTTTGTTTTTATCCCTTTACCCCCAACCTTAAGAACCCTGGATGCATGCCCTAACTGTCCAGGTACCACCCATCACACCAGATAGAATACATGGAACAATTAATGATGGGTTAAGTCCGAAACAGAATGGGGCAAAATGAGCAATTTCAAAGTAAGCATGTGAAATATCAAGCTCACACTTTGAGCATGAACTATCAAGGGATAGGCTAGTGGGACACCCTTCTAAATCTTAACAAGCCTTTTAAGCAGCCTAAATTTTAAATAGACCCTAAAAATGGACCACAACTGGAAATACAAGTAAAAATGGGTTTCCAGGCAGAAGTTGTACAAAGACGATTTCAAAACAGAGACTACTAGAGAAAGAGTGATGAGATTAGACTGGCTAAAGGAAAGGGTGGGTGTAGGGAAGGAGTGGGATTTTTTTTTTAAGATCGTATTTATTTATTCATGAGAGATACAGAGAGAGAGAGAGAGAGGCAGAGACACAGGCAGAGGGAGAAGCTGGCTCCATGCAGGGAGCCCAACATGGGACTAGATCCTGGGTCTCCAGGATCACGCCCTGGGATGAAGACATTGCTAAACCGCAGAGCCACCAGGGCTGACCCAAGGAGTGGGATTTAAAGCTCCAAGTGCCTAGCGACCACATAGAGAAAGGACAGTCTCCAACCTGCCCTATCAACTCTTCCCTCTCACTCTTACTGGAAAAGATGAGAAGGACTGAAATAAATTAGGACAGACTGTAGGAACAAAAGTAACAGTGCAGCCTGGGTGGCTCAGCAGTTTAGCTCCCGCCTTCAGACCAGGATGTGATCCTGGAGTTTCAGGATCAAGTCCCACGTCGGGCTGCCTGCATGGAGCCTGCTTCTCCCTCTGCCTGTGTTTCTGCCTCTCTCTCTCTCTCTCTCTCTCTGTCTCTCATGAATAAATAAGTAAAATCTAAAAAAAAAAAAAGAAAGAAAGAAAGAAAAAGAAAAAAGTAACAGTGATTATTATCTTTTTTTTGGCAAATTAAATTTCTAAATTACATCCTTAATAATTATATGTCTATTCATGTTTTCAGATTTGGTAGTTTAATTTTTCTAAGATATTTCATTTAACTTTTCAAAATTATTAGCATATAGCTCTTCATAAAATCCTCTATTAATAAAAAATGTAAGTTGTGATAAAATACGTATAAAACTTAACCATCTTAACCATTTTTAAGTAACAGTTCAGTAGAGTTACCTCTGCTCACAATGATGTGCAATCAATTTCCAGGATTTTTACATCTTGTAAACATGAAACTCTACATCGATTTAACTAATTCATTTTCCTCTCTCCTCCTGGCCCCTGGAAAATATCATTCAACTTTCTATATTTATGAATCTGACTATTCTAGATACCGCATTAAGTGGAATCATGCAGTATAAATCTTTTTATGACTGGCTTATTTCACTAAGCATAATGTCCTCAAGGTTCATCCACATCATAGTATATACCATAGTATATACCATAGTATATATCCCTTCCTCTTTAAAGCTAATTAATATAACATTTTTGGTGAATACCACATTGTGTTTCATCCACTCATCTGTCAATGGACACTTTAATTGCTTCCACTTTCTGACTGTTGTGAAATAATATTGCTAGGAACATAGGTATACAAATAAGTAAGACTCTGCCTACAATTCTTTGGAACTAGGATTATTAGATCACATGGGAATTCTATTTTTAATTTTCTAACGAACTGCCATACTGTTTTCTGTAAGCACTACACTATTCTACATTCCTACCAAGTGTGTACACAGGTTCCAATTTCTTCACATCCTTGCAAATATTTATTTTCTGACTGTTTTCTAGTATATGGGGTTTTTAATTTTTTTTATTGGAGTTCGATTTGCCAACATATAGCATAACACCTAGTGCTCATCCCATCAAGTGCCCCCCTCAGTGCCCGTCACCCAATCACCCC